CTCGAATGGATCTGTAATTTTTGTCTGAAGGTTGTCTTGTATGTGTTCTCAATTTTAATATAACGACCGCTCTTTTATGATAAAATAATACTTTTAGTTTACACTCCTTATTGTAATTTCTCACTATTATTTATATTGTATTTATCAATTTTCATTTTTTGTAAACTGAATTGGTTGTGATTTTTCTATTATTAATTAAATATAGGTATTTTAATGACAGGTAAACATAAATTTGACTCTATGAACAAAGTGGAGTTTTTTCACGGAATAATGCTAATTAAATAAATAATTCCCAAAATATTGTTGGGTTAAAGAAATTCTCAAAATATTGCTAGATTAACTGCATTATTTTCGGAATTATTTTTAACCACGGTTAACCCAACAGTATTTTGGGAATTGTTTTTAACCCAGCAGTATTTTAGAAATTATTTATTTAATTAGCGTTATTTCGTGAAAAAACTCAACAAAGTGAAAGAGTAGTTTGAAAATATATTAAAAAGTGGTAGTATAATTTTGGTGCATTTTTATAGGTTTCCATTTGAATTTTTGGTGTATCTTGAGTATATCGTTATATGCTTTGTCCTTTGTATGGAAGGTTTACATTCAATATCTCAATTTTTCTGACTTTATGTTATAAATAAATAAATTTTCGGACTTTATGTTATAAATAAATATTACTAGTATTTCTTAAGATCAAGTGTTTTTCCGTCTAGGGCCTCTAAAATCCTAGAGCCGGCCCTGACCCTAAACCTGCGATTGAGTAAATTTACATGACAAAAATCAAGAAGAATAAAAAGAATTTAAGCACACACTCTAAAATACTATTAATGTACTTTAAAGATTATTATTCTTCCTCGACATAGTAGTAATTAACTATAATAATACTCTTAATATATTCAATATGAGGTAGACTACAAGCAATAATAGGAATTTAACGGGGTACGATTCGGATAAAGACTTTTTCTGGTATATTTTCTCAAACACTTTAATGAAATACTTATATCATTCTTACTAAGTTTATCAACTAGAAAATGGTCATAATACTTGAACTCATGGCCATGTAGCGAGAAATAATGGCCATTTTCTAGTTGATAAACTTAATAAGAATGATACAAGTATTTCATTAAAGTGTTTGACTTGCTACATGGCCATTTTCGGGTGAATAAATAATACATAGTACTAGTAGCTTTTTAATACTAAGTTCTTTAAACTCATGATTGATCCGTCGGTGTGTAGCAGGGGTATATCGCGGGTGGGGGCAGGGGGCAGCTACCCCACTCAACCCCCACCATACCCTATATATATTCAATAAATATTTATATATATCTTTTGTTTGTTAAATTCATACTCTGTATGTCTTATACATCAAATACGAGAAAGTGAATGGACAATGGACATCTCCACAACATACCGGCTGCAAAGAGGTGAATTTCCACTTAATCATCCTTAAGGTCGTGTGTTTGAACCTGACCTCAACTTTTTTTTACAATTTTGTTTATAGTTTTGCTCTTTTGAAGCCTTAAACCATTTAAAATGAAATTACATATTTCTATTTAATTTTTGCACAATTACTTTTTTAAACATACTTTCTCCGTATTTAAAAGTTTGCTACACTTTCTTAATTAATATGTATTTAAAAATTTGCTACTCTTTTTTTGGTAAGTTTTCGTTTAAAATTAATAGTCAATTACTCTTACTTTTTACTCTTTATATTATATTTCTACTTTTTCACCTTCTCTCTTACATGTTCTATACTATGTGTTGAATATGTATGTCTTAGACATCAAATACCAAAGAGATGGAGTAATATAATTTAAATTTGTTTTTAATGTATTTGTGAATTCGAGATTTAAATTAATTCGAAGTACATAGTTAAATTTTCAATTCCCTTATTCCATTTGTTTATTTATTAACATAATTGTGAACAAATTACAAACACTATGTGATTAAAATTTATTTCTGACAAAGTAAACTTTATTTATTGTGATTTTGTAAATATTATATCATAATGATATTGTCGGTGAATATTATGTTATTTATGTTTGTCTTTACAATATTTTTCTTAATATGATTAGTTGATGACATGTGTGAGATAATATTTAAGACAAATTCACCCCACTCACCAATTTTCAGGATATGTCAGTGGTGCGTAGAGAAACTATTTTTTATGACATATACGAAACAAACCACAATTGATCTTACGGTTATTGGTTAACTGACCGTGAGATTTTCAAAATCATAGTTGTAATGTGAATCACTTTTTCGTTTCAATCATGTACCATAAATTTTTTTTCGTCAAAACCAACAAATACATAAATCAACAAAACGTTCATCACATGGTTGATAATACAATCAAAGAGAAAGCAATAAACAAAATGATAAAAAGTCTTATGTCTGTCGTCCGCCCTCGAACCAGACTTAGAATCTATCACCTCTGTAGAAGCAATAATATTCGCTGATCGGCTTAACTGAGCCAATGACTAGCAAACCAGACTTCTCATCACCTGACTTAAACTCTAGAATCTCTCTGCTAGGAAATAAGAACACGACCAAAATAACATGCAATTCGAAAGAAAAACACAAACAGGATAAAACGGAATTAAAACATAGTTCATCCATCTTCTTCCAAACCCTAGACTCGATCGCTTGCACTCCATGGCGGCGGCTTGGGAGGGGGACGCGCACGCCCCGCTCATCTGCCTCAATAGTCATGCTTTTGTATTGATTGACAATATTCTCCTTTGACATCCCTTGCGGCTACTGAATCGAAACCAAACTCCGCCACAACTTATTCACCTTTTCTTTGTCAACACTTGACCTTCGACCAGAAACAACAGCAGAAGTCGAGCCCTGGCCACCAAAGCGATGCATCACTGGTCCCGAGCCTGCTTGCACGACCGAAATCGACCGACGACCGCTCTTCGTCGATGACGAAAGCGAAAGAACGAAACTCTGGCCTAACTCGTAGGGAGATGACCGCTAGAGAGAGAGGCTCTCCAATTCCAACAATTGGCCGTAAAAACCAGCCACGCTCCTCGACAATGATCGATAGCGGACGAATCGAATCTAGCGATTACCTTGCGGCAACCCTAGAGAGAGAAACATCATGCACCGTTATTTAGAAGATCAGTTTGGTTAATCAAAAAATGCAGTTTTTTTGGTTCGAAAAATAGGTTAAGATTTTTATGCTCACACCTGTCCCAAATCCCTACGGCCCCGTCTCCTAGCGTAAGTATAATTTTGTTCGCCTCCATAAAGAGGGTGATGGTCAGTGGTCACCCCCTCTTTCTGTGGTTGCCAATGTGGTATTCATGGGCGGAGCTAGGGGTGGCCCAATCTAGGCCTTGACTCACCCCAAATTTTAAAAATGGCTTAATTTTTAAAGTAAAAAATTTCGTGTAATTTTTTTTCTAAAAATATTCTTTATACCGGCCCGGTGCTCTAGCTCCGCCCCTGGTGGTATTGCAATCTCAAATTCGTATTATTATTTTATTTATTATTATTTTATTTATTATTTTCAAATGGTACTAATATTGCATATAAAAATTGATTTTTATTCTAAATATTTGTTTTAGTCGGTTTTTTTAATTTTAAAAAATGCAATATTGGTACCATATGAACAATCATAAAAAAGTAAAAAAATACTTATATTTTTTAAAATTGAACCATACATAAATGAAAAGTTATTAACATTTGAAAAAATAAAACGAATTGACTAGCCATATGACACCCCAACACGAATTATATTTTAATCCCCCCTCCACAACTCAACAGAATCACTCAATCAAGCCACTTCAGCCGAAATTTCATAAATTTTAGCAGAATTAGTTGATTCAGTCTAGTCCAGTCAATCAGCCACTCCAGCCAAAATTTTATTAATTTTACATTATATTGGGCATAGACTCGCGCGCATTGCGTCAGACCGCTAGTATGAAAAGATGGCTAAAGTGGTTCTCTACAGTAGAGTAACTTTGTCCAATTCTGTCATAAAAGTAATTCAATCCTACTAATTTTAGAGGCCGTTTGGTAACACTGTTTTTCGGCTTATCAGGCTTTTCAGCCAAATTTTTCACCAAACACGTAACTTTTACTTTCGCGCGCTGAATTGTGTAATAAGCAGAAAAAGTAAGGTTGAAGTTACTTTTCTGGCTGTATTGGCTGAAGTTACTGTAGATGATCATTTTAACTATTTTTACATGTAATTTATTTATTTATTTTATTAATAAAATATATTTTTTAAATAATTTTTTCTTAAATCAGCAGAATAGCCACTTTATCCAGAACTTCATAAATTTCAGCAGAATCAACCAAAACAGCCGATTTTCGTGCTACCAAACGGGCTCTTAATTATCACAAAACTCAGCGCGCACGAAATTAAAAGTTACACATCATCATCATCATCATCATCATCATCATCCCCTTACCTACGGTGGGGTAAAAGGGAGGTCGGATGTACTGTAACACCGCCCCCAAGTATTTGTACTTTATCAAATTATGTATTGAACCCAAGAAATGAGTAAACGCATTTTTTCGTGAATAGTAAAACTCATGTGGGGCCCACACCGGAAGTGGGGGCCGCCCGATCTTATCGGGACCACATATTATATTCATTTGGGTCAAGATAATATGTGTATAATGGTGGACATCCTTGTTGGGCCATAGAAGTTATGTGAGTAACCTTTTGGGGCAAATAAAGCCCAATTATCGGTACCGTCGTACTGACAGATAAAAGCCATAATAAATTATGGAGACCATCAAATTAAAAGCTGGAGGATATACATCCATTCTTGTAGCCGATAATAATTGGAAGAACGATAGATATTTCATTTTTACCCGATAAAATGAAATACAATTAAAACAGTCCGGAAAATACAACTTTCGGGACCGAATATACACTCGGGGACACAAAGGGATGACCACCCATCTAAGTGGGGGCCATCCCCACGTTTTTAGTCTACAAATGAAAAGGGGGAGCCGCACAATCCCATGGGGAAACAAAGAGGAAATTGATTGGAAGGCCAATCAATAGAAGAAGTGGACCTCACCCATGAAATTATTTTGAGAAATGCCAAAAAGGCATTCTCAATCACTCCAACCCACACAAGCTCGGCCATACCACTTTCCAAGGGGAGAGAAACTCTGCAAAACTCCATTTTCATCCACCATATTCGAACCAAAGCTTAAGGAGAAGAAGGAGGGGAAAGAGAAGAGAAAGAAGAAGGAAAACTTGAGGATTAACAAGGTAATAACCCCATTAATCTCATCCCTCTTCTTTAATCTTCCAAATATGATTATGTAATCATATTTCATACCCCTAGGATCATTCTACATGTTATATGTGAAGAGTGAAGGGTTGGAAGGTTGGTTCTTATCCAAAACGGATTTAGAGAACAAAGTTGACCGTTTCACCGGAAAATAACCTTTTAGAGGTTATTTGTATTGATATGGGTTTTATGATGATAAAACCTTGTTGTTAACTTGTATAAGGTACTCCAAGGACTTTCACGGAATTGAAAGGGTCGCCGGAGTGTCGCCGGACTTTGTTGAAGTTCGCCGGAGTTTCACCGGAGCTCAATAAGAAGGGCTAGGACTTCATAAGCTTCTTTGAGGTGAGAAGACGGCTATATGCTTTATAACTTTTGATTGAGGCATGAGATTACCTAAAGTAATCAAGGATATGTTTTACGGAATGATTAAAGTTAATCAATTATGGGCTTATGCCATGATTATATATAAAACAAAGTTGAAAGGCATGTTTTGTATGTTTGGTGATTAAAAATGTGATAACTTATTATGTGCAATGATCCAGGGGTCAAAAATGGTATTTTTGGATCAAGGACTGCAAGTAGAATATGCATGTAAAATTTCACGTTAATCGGACTCCGTTTGGGCGGTCAAACGGGCGTTGACCGCCAAGTCAACTACAATACCCGACCGGGTGTCTGCTGAAAAATTGGCCCCAAGGGCCGCTGTCTCCTATACTCGATCGAGTATGGATAGATACTCGATCGAGTATGCCTTGGAAATTAGCCTTACGGGCTCCTGTCTCCTGTACTCGACCGAGTATTGGTGGGTACTCGATCGAGTATTGAGTTATACTCAAAACGGGTAGTTTTTGAGTGGGTTAACGTGGACCGATCAGGCGGGACCCGTCCACGTTGGTTACTAAGGATTGTTATATGACTATAGGACCAGGTATTGTCCATAGTTGAGTGAACGAAAGGTTAGCCATATCCAGGTTAGGGTTTGGTTAGAAATAAGGTTGAGGTTGAGTATCCTCGGGACGGTAAATGATTCTAAAACTCGGTGAGGTTGAGTATCCTCAGGATGGTAAACAATCCTAAAACTCGGTGAGGTTGAGCATCCTCAGGACGGTAAACAATCCTAAAACTCGGTTGAGGTTGAGTATCCTCGGGACGGTAAATGATCCTAAAACTCGGTTGAGGTTGAGTATCCTCGGGACGGTAAATGATCCCAAAACTCGATTGGGGTTGAGTATCCCCGGGAGGGTTAACACTCCTGAAACTCGGTAGGATATTATGAAGGTAGAATGTAGCTCTTAAGCTAGGCATTCAGGAATGAAAGGGGAAAGGTTGGGTAAGTACCTTGTCTCTGAAAGACTCTTTTGTGAGAAAATGACCTACGGGTCAAGTATTTTACAAGTATATACGGTATGTATTATCTTGGGGATGGGGTAACAATGGTTACACCTATAAGTATATGTACCACCCTATTTTTGGGTCTCGTGTCTGAAACATTAGTTATTCCTCATATAGCCTGCTTGTCACTAGTACTTCTATGGAGTACTGACCCCTTCGGGGGCCCTCACACTTTTCAGGTTAAGGCTAGAGTCCTACTACCTGCACCTTTGCCTAGGGTGACTGATCAAGGAGGAAGACGTGGTTCGTGCTTCCATTCATCTTCAAAACTGATAAACTGCTCATGGATATTTTTAACAATGTTTTCTATTAAAACATTTGGGGGCCTGCGTGCCCGTATTTGCCACGTGTGGCTCAGTATCAAACATATCTTATTTTTCCGCATTTGTTTGACTAATATATATTGATGTTGATTGTATGGGTTTACTAATCGGCTTGGCAATAGAACTCAACGGACGCCTTGTATGATTTGATAAGGATGAACTACGTTGTTCTTATTGGGTTGTACGGCGGTTGTCTACGTGGCACGGACGCGGTCCGGGGCGTGACAATTAAATGGTATCAGAGCCATCGATTTCTAAACTATATAATTAACCTCTCAATATAGTATCATAAAAAATGTTTTGAGCAAAACCATGAGCAAAAGTTTTTGTACTTAAGGAACCGTTGGAAACCAAGTTATTGACCTCTTATTGTTAAGACGGTACCCTTAACAGTTTGTTGGCCATAATGTTGGACCAAGTGGTGTCTTTTGTACTATTCCGTCAATTGACATTGATACGAGTCTAACGGCTCATTCCAAATTTCTTTCAGAAATGGAGGGTAGAGGCATGGCTACGAGGAACAACCCGAGAGGGCAAACTCCGGTGACGTCCGAAGGGGCTAGCCAGGTTGCATCTCGGGGCGCGAGAGGCGGTAGGGGAGGCCGTGGAGGCCGTGGAGGCCGTGGAGGCCGTGGAGGCCGTGGAGGCCGGGGAGGCCGTCGGGCTCAAACCGTGAGCGATGGCCATGTTAGCTCGGTGCACGGAACTCACACCGAGGATTATGACTCTACATATGTTCCCGAGACGGAACATGAGGAGACCCCATATGATGGGGGTGATACGTACACCGATGATGACAACGATGAGAGTGATGCCAAGTTCGCCCAGATGGGTGAATTGTTTGAGTGGTATCAAAAAGAGAAACTAAGAAGAGATCTTAGGCGCCAAGCTAGGCGTGCTTCTCAGAGAGGTTCGGGTCAGGGAAGCCAGGGAGCTTCAGTGGCCATTCCTGTGGCGACACAGGGGGTACAAGGAGGAGGTTCCTGTGTAAGAATCTCCAAATACCTCAAGGAGGCGAGGGCCTTGTGGTGTAAGTCATTCGATGGCAAGGGCGACATATCTGTGGCTGCCGACTGGATCAAGAAACTAAATGAGGCTGCTAGGGATATGCAGATCGGGCTTGATATAAAGTTGACAGTTGCTACCAGGTTACTGGAGGGAGTAGCCGCGGTATGGTGGGAAGGCGTGGAAGGAAAGTTCCACGGTGAGACCACCTGGGAGAAATTTGAAGTGGAATTCTATAATCAGTACTACTCAGAGTTCGAGAAGAACCAAAAGAGGAAGGAGTACATGACCTTGGTACAAGAGGAGGGTTGCTCGGTGAGGCAATTGGAGCAGAGATTCCGGGACTTGGCACGATACATACCTGAGTACGCCATGGATGAGAACCGCATGGCTAATCACTTCTGGGATACCCTACAGTTGGATATCCGTGATAGGACCACCTACAATCATCACATGACTTTTAGTGAGATTGTGGATCAAGGGCTACTTGGGGAAGCCAAGTGGAATGAAAGGAAGAAGAGAGAAGCCGAAGAGGCAAAGAAGAGAAGATGGGGAAATTCTGGACCCCAAGACCATTCTCGGAAACATCACGCCGGGAATAGAAGATCATTCAGGGCGCCGGAACCACCGGCAAAGAAGAGTAAGGGCCCAGGAGGGCAAGGGCATAGCTCGGGGAGCGTGAGGCCACCAAGGTGTCCAAACTGTAACAGGAATCACTCCGGGAAGTGCAATGAACCACCCCGGTGCTACAAGTGTGGTAGCACAAGCCACCTCAAACTCTCTTGCCCAATGTTGAGTGGAGGTGGGCCATCGGGAGCTGTTGAGGCACCCACGTCTGGTAGGGGTCGTGCGGGACCATATCAGGGCGGCACGGGAAGGGGCGGACCCACGGCTAGTAACGCCGCGTCCGTTAACCAAGGGAGGACTCGGGCACGGGTGTACGCAATGACCGAGGCTGACGCTCGGGCCAACCCGGACTCCATTGCAGGTAATCTTTTGACCTCACATGCGTTTTATTCATTCGTTTGAAGTAAAACATTCGAAAAATGTGTTATACCCGACCGGGTATCCCTATAGACCCGACCGGGTATGGGGAATTCTTCAGGTTCGAGGTTTGTACTCGTTCGAGCAAGTTTAGCAGAACCCTTCGATTTTGGTAAATCCAGCCATACTCGATCGGGTATGGTATGATACTCGATCGAGTATTAGTAAAAAAATTTGTTTTTTAAGGCGTGTGCTCGATCGAACGTCGTGGGCAGAAAGCATTGTGATTAACAGTTTGAGCAATACCCGACCGGGTATGGACATATACCCGACTGGGTATAGTGTAGTTGTTCGAGTACGAGGTGGGTACTCGATCGAGCAAAACTGACAGGAAATTTCTTCCTTGGGGAATCGGGCAATACCCGACCGGGTATAGGCTAGTACCCGACCGGGTATAGAGCAACTCCAAGCCTAATTTTTCTTTCAGCTCATTTTCACTCCGGACGATGGGTGGTGTTTCTTACATGGCTTGTATATGTAGGAACACTAAAGATCAATGGTAGACAGGCGAGAATTCTCATCGACACCGGAGCGCAACGTTCATTCATGAGCGAAGCGTTCGCCAAGGGACTGGGCATGCCGTTAGTAGCAATGGCGCAACCCTTGCTGGTCTCTACACCATTGGGAGATGACGTGGAAAGGAAACACTACTATCCCTCATGTAATGTGGAGATAGGGGAGCATCGTCTAATGGGAGACTTTGTACCGTTAGACATGCTTGAGTTTGATGCTATATTGGGCATGGATTGGCTTGAAAAACACCACGCGAAGGTAGATTGCTACACCAAGGTGTTAGAACTAAAAGATGGCGAAGGGAACACCCTATGCTTCGAGGGAGATAGGGGAAATTCAACCCTTGCATCGTATCGGCTATGAGGGCAAGGCGTATGATGAGGAAGGGATGTCATGCTTACTTAGCCTATGTCGTAGGCAAGGAAGGCAAAGGGAAGAGTCTCACGGAAGTAAGAGTAGTGAGTGAGTATCCAGAAGTTTTCCCGGAAGAACTCCCGGGACTCCCACCAGATCGAGAGATCGAGTTTGAGATCGAGGTTGAACCAGGCACCAAACCCATCTCAATTCCTCCGTATCGAATGGCACCGACTGAACTTCAAGAGTTGAAAGTTCAATTGGAAGAGCTACTAGATAACGGATTCATTAGACCGAGTCATTCACCATGGGGAGCACCAGTACTCTTTGTTAAGAAGAAGGATGGCACAATGAGAATGTGTATCGACTACCGTCAATTGAACAAGGTCACGATAAAGAACAAATATCCTTTGCCAAGGATTGACGACTTGTTTGATCAATTACGGGGGGCAACCGTGTTCTCCAAGATCGACTTGAGGTCGGGCTACCATCAACTAAGGATCAAGGAGAGTGACATACCCAAAAGTGCATTCCGTACAAGGTATGGTCACTATGAGTTCCTAGTGATGTCGTTTGGGCTTACAAATGCCCCCGCGACATTCATGGACCTCATGAACCGAGTATTTCATCAATACTTGGACCAATTCGTCATAGTGTTCATAGATGACATCTTGATATACTCCAAGAACGAAGAACACGAGAAACATCTAAGGCTCGTACTTGGAACACTGCGGGAGAAGCAACTCTTTGCCAAATTCTCTAAGTGTGAATTTTGGCTTGGGGAGATCGGTTTTCTCGGGCATGTGGTATCAGGTTCGGGCATTTCTGTTGATAACTCAAAGATTGAAGCAGTCACTAATTGGGAAAGGCCCAAGAATGTTAAGGAAATAAGGAGTTTCCTTGGTTTAGCGGGGTATTACCGCAAATTCGTGGAGAAGTTCTCCGTAATAGCATCTCCACTCACGAAGCTCACTAAAAAGGGGGCTAAGTTTGTGTGGGATGACAAGTGTGAGAAGGGGTTTCTTGAGCTAAAGAAACGGTTGACTGAAGCACCAGTACTTGCTCTACCCGTGCAAGGGTTGGGGTATGATATTTATAGCGATGCTAGCATCCAGGGACTTGGGTGCGTACTGATGCAACCGGGGAAGGTAATTGCTTATGCTTCTCGGCAACTGAGGAAGCATGAAGTGAATTACCCCACACATGACCTTGAGCTAGGAGCTGTGGTATTTGCGTTGAAGATTTGGAGGCACTACCTCTACGGTGAGGTGTGTCACATTTATACTGATCACAAAAGTTTGAAGTACGTGTTCACTCAGAAAGAGTTGAACATGAGGCAGAGGAGATGGATGGAGTTAATCAAGGATTACAACTTGATTATAGACTATCATCCAGGGAAGGCTAACGTGGTAGCCGATGCTCTTAGTAGAAAGAGTTCATCGGGGGGTTTACTCTCATGCTTGCAAGCATTGAGGGCACGTGTGGAGGTATCCACGAATGGGGCTCTATTGGCCAGATTTGAGGTGAGACCCACCTTGTTAGACGAAATCAGGACGCGTCAAGGCAATGAGGAGGAAATTCAGAAAATCCGGGAACGGATGCTGGTGGGACCCGTCGAGGGTTTCCATGAGAGAGAAGATGGACTCCTACTATTCAAGGAGCGAGTGTGTGTGCCGTCAGATGAGGAGCTCCGGAAATCTATTCTTGAGGAGGCTCACTCATCTGCGTATGCCATGCACCCAGGTGGAACAAAGATGTACCGGGACTTGAAAGAAAGTTACTGGTGGTCGGGGATGAAGAGAGAGATTGCAGAATATGTGAGCCGTTGCCTTACCTGTCAGCAGGTTAAGGCAGAGCACCAGCACCCGGCAGGGTTATTACAGCCACTTACCATCCCAGAATGGAAGTGGGAGCATGTTACTATGGACTTCGTGGTAGGTTTGCCACGGACGGTTAGGAACTTTGATGCGGTATGGGTGGTGGTTGATAGGTTGACCAAGAGTGCCCATTTTCTACCTATCAACACTACTTATACGCTTGAGCGACTGGCCAAATTGTATACAGATGAGATCGTGAGACTACATGGGGTTCCGGTTACTATAGTGTCGGATAGAGACCCACGGTTCACATCACGGTTTTGGCCTAAGTTCCAAGAATCCATGGGTACGAAGTTGAGGTTTAGCACGGCTTTCCATCCTCAAACGGATGGGCAATCAGAACGGGTAATTCAGATTTTGGAGGACATGTTGAGGGCATGTGCCTTAGAGTTCCAAGGAAGCTGGGACAACCAGTTGGCTTTGGTAGAATTCGCCTATAACAACAGTTATCAGGCAAGTATAGGCATGCCTCCATACGAGGCATTGTATGGGAGGAAATGTCGAACACCCTTGTGTTGGGATGAGGTTGGCGAGGCCAAGCTTGAAGGCATTGAGCTAGTAGAAATCACCAAGGAGAAGGTGAGGGTCATTCAGGATAGACTCAAGACTGCCCAAGATCGGCAGAAGAGCTATGCAGATAAACGACGAAGGACGTTGGAGTTCGAGGTCGGTGATGAGGTATTTCTGAGGGTGTCGCCTTGGAAAGGGATCATCAGGTTCCTTAGTCGGGGTAAGCTTAACCCACGCTACATAGGCCCATTCAAGATCATTGAAAGAATTGGGGTTGTAGCGTACCGACTTCAGTTAACTCCAGAATTGGAAAAGATTCATAATGTATTTCATGTTTCTATGCTCAAGAAGTATGTACGGGACCCGTCACATATTCTTGAGAAACCACCGGTAGAAATCCGGGAAGACCTTCACTATGCAGTGCAGCCGGTAAAGATCATGGACCGACAGGTAAAGAAGATAAGGAGTAAAGAGGTACCAATGGTGAAGGTACTTTGGAAGAGTGATCGTGTCGAGGAGCAGACTTGGGAAGTGGAGACCCTGATGAGGGAGCAGTATCCATTTCTGTTCGACTAGACACGTGGATTTCGGGGACGAAATCCCAAATAAGGGGGGTAGAACTTGTAACACCGCCCCCAAGTATTTGTACTTTATCAAATTATGTATTGAACCCAAGAAATGAGTAAACGCATTTTTTCGTGAATAGTAAAACTCACGTGGGGCCCACACCGGAAGTGGGGGCCGCCCGATCTTATCGGGACCACATATTATATTCATTTGGGTCAAGATAATATGTGTATAATGGTGGACATCCTTGTTGGGCCATAGAAGTTATGTGAGTAACCTTTTGGGGCAAATAAAGCCCAATTATCGGTACCGTCGTACTGACAGATAAAAGCCATAATAAATTATGGAGACCATCAAATTAAAAGCTGGAGGATATACATCCATTCTTGTAGCCGATAATAATTGGAAGAACGATAGATATTTCATTTTTACCCGATAAAATGAAATACAATTAAAACAGTCCGGAAAATACAACTTTCGGGACCGAATATACACTCGGGGACACAAAGGGATGACCACCCATCTAAGTGGGGGCCATCCCCACGTTTTTAGTCTACAAATGAAAAGGGGGAGCCGCACAATGCCATGGGGAAACAAAGAGGAAATTGATTGGAAGGCCAATCAATAGAAGAAGTGGACCTCACCCATGAAATTATTTTGAGAAATGCCAAAAAGGCATTCTCAATCACTCCAACCCACACAAGCTCGGCCATACCACTTTCCAAGGGGAGAGAAACTCTGCAAAACTCCATTTTCATCCACCATATTCGAACCAAAGCTTAAGGAGAAGAAGGAGGGGAAAGAGAAGAGAAAGAAGAAGGAAAACTTGAGGATTAACAAGGTAATAACCCCATTAATCTCATCCCTCTTCTTTAATCTTCCAAATATGATTATGTAATCATATTTCATACCCCTAGGATCATTCTACATGTTATATGTGAAGAGTGAAGGGTTGGAAGGTTGGTTCTTATCCAAAACGGATTTAGAGAACAAAGTTGACCGTTTCACCGGAAAATAACCTTTTAGAGGTTATTTGTATTGATATGGGTTTTATGATGATAAAACCTTGTTGTTAACTTGTATAAGGTACTCCAAGGACTTTCACGGAATTGAAAGGGTCGCCGGAGTGTCGCCGGACTTTGTTGAAGTTCGCCGGAGTTTCACCGGAGCTCAATAAGAAGGGCTAGGACTTCATAAGCTTCTTTGAGGTGAGAAGACGGCTATATGCTTTATAACTTTTGATTGAGGCATGAGATTACCTAAAGTAATCAAGGATATGTTTTACGGAATGATTAAAGTTAATCAAGTATGGGCTTATGCCATGATTATATATAAAACAAAGTTGAAAAGCATGTTTTGTATGTTTGGTGATTAAAAATGTGATAACTTATTATGTGCAATGATCCAGGGGTCAAAAATGGTATTTTTGGATCAAGGACTGCAAGTAGAATATGCATGTAAAATTTCACGTTAATCGGACTCCGTTTGGGCGGTCAAACGGGCGTTGACCGCCAAGTCAACTACAATACCCGACCGGGTGTCTGCTGAAAAATTGGCCCCAAGGGCCGCTGTCTCCTATACTCGATCGAGTATGGATAGATACTCGATCGAGTATGCCTTGGAAATTAGCCTTACGGGCTCCTGTCTCCTGTACTCGACCGAGTATTGGTGGGTACTCGATCGAGTATTGAGTTATACTCAAAACGGGTAGTTTTTGAGTGGGTTAACGTGGACCGATCAGGCGGGACCCGTCCACGTTGGTTACTAAGGATTGTTATATGACTATAGGACCAGGTATTGTCCATAGTTGAGTGAACGAAAGGTTAGCCATATCCAGGTTAGGGTTTGGTTAGAAATAAGGTTGAGGTTGAGTATCCTCGGGACGGTAAATGATCCTAAAACTCGGTGAGGTTGAGTATCCTCAGGATGGTAAACAATCCTAAAACTCGGTGAGGTTGAGCATCCCCAGGACGGTAAACAATCCTAAAACTCGGTTGAGGTTGAGTATCCTCGGGACGGTAAATGATCCTAAAACTCGGTTGAGGTTGAGTATCCTCGGGACGGTAAATGATCCCAAAACTCGGTTGGGGTTGAGTATCCCCGGGAGGGTTAATAACACTCCTGAAACTCGGTAGGATATTATGAAGGTAGAATGTAGCTCTTAAGCTAGGCATTCAGGAATGAAAGGGGAAAGGTTGGGTAAGTACCTTGTCTCTGAAAGACTCTTTTGTGAGAAAATGACCTACGGGTCAAGTATTTTACAAGTATATACGGTATGTATTATCTTGGGGATGGGGTAACAATGATTACACCTATAAGTATATGTACCACCCTATTTTTGGGTCTCGTGTCTGAAACATTAGTTATTCCTCATATAGCCTGCTTGTCACTAGTACTTCTATGGAGTACTGACCCCTTCGGGGGCCCTCACACTTTTCAGGTTAATGCTAGAGTCCTACTACCTGCACCTTTGCCTAGGGTGACTGATCAAGGAGGAAGACGTGGTTCGTGCTTCCATTCATCTTCAAAACTGATAAACTGCTCATGGATATTTTTAACAATGTTTTCTATTAAAACATTTGGGGGCCTGCGTGCCCGTATTTGCCACGTGTGGCTCAGTATCAAACATATCTTATTTTTCCGCATTTGTTTGACTAATATATATTGATGTTGATTGTATGGGTTTACTAATCGGCTTGGCAATAGAACTCAACGGACGCCTTGTATGATTTGATAAGGATGAACTACGTTGTTCTTATTGGGTTGTACGGCGGTTGTCTACGTGGCACGGACGCGGTCCGGGGCGTGACATGTACGCAGTCTTACCCCTGTACTAAAGCACAGAGAGACTGTTTCCGGATGACCCATGGTGAAAATCGCGTCCAGAATGCATGGACTGACTACAGCTTCATAAGAAAGAAGCGCCGACAGTTTAGTGAACCATTTTGCTTTATTTCATCATATTTTCAAGCCAAAAAATAGTGAGTGTTTGGCTCCATTGCAAATGATGGAAAAAGAAATTAAAAGTTACACATTTGATAAAAAAAATGACCGATAAACTGAAAATATGTGTTATCAAACGGGCCATATAAGTTGACATATTGACAAAGGCAATTAGACAAACATGTGTAAAGAAGGGATATGTATGACCCGTACCCAAGGCGTGGATCGTGGGCACTAATTTATCGGGTGCAGCCGGGGTGTACTACACTTATCTGTTCCTGTTTTATTTATGTTGTTTCCTTTTCTAGTTTCATTCCAAACAGTGTGAAGGCCTATCTGATTCAACAGACTTAGCATTCTTGTACTTTGTGTGGTTCTAATCAATGAAACCTCTTAGCTTCTATCTTTTGTGGTGTGCAAACCAAACACGCATCCAGTTGTCTGGAGTGAAGTGTCTTACTCGACCAGATCTTTGTGTTACATTGCATTACTAGTAAATATATACTTACAAAGGTTTCATTCATTAAAAACACATCAAGTATCTAGGAAACTAATTACCATTTCCAGTGTCCACATGCTCAATCATATTAGCTCTGTCTACTCCATGTTTGCTCTTTTGGTTATATTTTTTTTAGGGAAAAGTACAGAAAATGTACTTGTGGTTGGGCTCGTTTTCAGATATTCATGTGTTTCATTCTTTATCAAAGTGGTTCATGTGTTTGAATTCTGTTATCACAAGAGGGTCACGCCGTTAAAAACGTCTAAAAAACCCGTTAAAAGTAACTCCGATTTTCAAAAGTGCCCGAAAAATTAAAAGAAAAATACTGGAAAGTGTGCATCAATAAGACGACCGTTAAGCCATCTTTATTTTTTGTTTTCAGCCACCTTTGTCACCGGAAAGTCCACCGGAAAAGTGATATTAGAGAAATCTTTTTTAAAAAATAATTCAAACAGATCTGAAATATCCAAAGGCGAAGGTGGTTTGGAGGTCATCTTTACGAGGCGCACCTTTCGGCATTTTTCTTTTAATTTTCCGGGCACTTTGGAAAATCAGAGTTACTTTTAACGATCTTTTCAGACGTTTTTAACGGCGTGACCCTCTTGTGATAACGGAATTCAAACACATGAACCACTTTGATAAAGAATGAAACACATGACCCTATCTGAAAACGGGCTCAACCACAAGTACCTTTTTCGTACTTTTCCCCTTTTTTAAATGTTGTTTTGGTTAGTTAGCTCACCCTTCCCACTCTGGAGGATCTATGTTAGGGTTATGGTGGACAGAAGCCTAGGGCAACATAAATTGTATAATTACTTTTAGTGTATTTTTTCGTTTTTCATATTTAGCTCACCTGACTAATGTTTGAGTTTAGTATAATTACTTTTTAGCTCAGCTCAACCCAACACAAATTCTTGAATCTACCCCTTATTCTGGCTTCCACGTCTTTTTTGTAAAAACTCTCTGATCAGGGGCGAAATCACGGCACTGGAACGGTACAAAGAATATTTTCAGAAATATTCTTATACCGAATTTTTTACACTAAAAATATAAACATTTTTTAAATTTGGGGTAAGGCGTAGTCCCCCCTCCCAGCTACGCCTTTTGTCTCTAATCAACCTCAACTCAGTCAGAAACCAATTTTAAAACTCGTGCCATATTAGAGTAATAGAGTAATGTAACAAACTAAAAATGTCATATTCGATCAATATGATAGTTAAACCAAGACTCTTGAGAAAACTAAGAGTCCGTTTGCTAACACTGAAATTGGCTGAATCGGCTGATTCTATTGAAATTTATAAAGTTCTGACTGAAGTGGCTGGATTAGCTGGTTTTACCGAAAAAAATTAATATATTTTTATCAATAAATATTTTTTTATGAAAAATAACTCAAATGATCATCTACAAAACTTCAGACGGTACAGTCAGAAAAGTAACTACAACCTTGTTTTTTCTTATTATGACACAATTCAACGTACGAAATCAAAAGTTTCGTGTTTGATGAAAAAGTTGGCTGATAAGCCAAAAAAATAAGATCACCAAACGAGCTATAAATTCATTCTAGATAGAAAAGAACCAAATTAATGATATCATGTCCATTGAGTTAGTTTCTGTCCATACCGAAACTTCAAGAAGTGATATACAATTTTTTTTTAGAGTAGAAGTGATATACAATTGTGGCAGGGGCGGAGCCAAGAACGGGTGTCAGTGGTGTCAATTTATAAAAGATTATACTACGTATAAGCTATACATAAAATTTTTAATTTTTAGTGATGTTAATTTAAAACTTTAAAAAAAATTATATACCTATATATGGAGAAGAAAAAATTCAGTGGTGTCAATTGGCACCACACCTAAAAGGGTGGCTTCGCCCCTGAAATGTGGTAATCTCAGTCCATACCGAAAGCTGAGAATGCTTGTGCTATTGTTGAAAAATATTATCTTGATGATAATTTTAATGATTTAATTTGTGACCATGTGAATTTTGTGGCTAACTTTCTGTATGAGCATGACTGCATGACTGCTTTTACAACTCTGCTCTCTAAATATGTGAAATGTGATAGTGGTTAATTATATGTCTTTACATGATAATAAGAGATGCAATGTGAATAGAGGAGTAGTTGGTGACATTTTCTCAAATTTTCTTGTGAGTTTGTTTGTCCAAAAAGGTTAAATCCCCAACCCCAACGGTCCCCCCCACGTCCCGGCCCGACAGAGCACATGAGAGGTTGTAAATCACGTTGACTCAATCAATCCTAACGGTGGTAGACCTTATATCCGTGCGCACCAGAGGCCCAGCCTAGCACATATGAGTTGTGACCTCCATACGATCGCTGCGGGATTCGATCATTGGTCATTTGTCCAACTTTCCCACTGCTTTACCAGTTGAGCTACTCGTGCGGGTTTTCTTGTGAGTTTGTGTTTACTATTAAGAAATTGAGGCCATTTCCCATTGTGTCATAACTTATTATCTTTTACTGCCTTAGAGGGTAATGATTTAGAAAATGGTTGTTATCATGTGTTGTTTAAACATGAAAAGGTAAATACCCTTTATGTAGGTCATACTTAACCTTTCTCTAAATCTGTGAATATTGTATGTGTTGATAAAATTGCTCTTTGGCATAGTAGAGTTGCACATATTAAATTAGCAATAAGGGTTGAGGCATCATGTTTATGAGTGGTTATTTTGGTAAGGACATGTGACCTCCGTGTCTTTCTATGAATCATATGTGCTTAATAAATAAAATATGGTGAAATTTCTCATTTCCTCTTACCCAAATCTTTCTAAGTGTTCATCTATGCTTGAATATATTCATGTTGGTGTTTTGGGCCCTCTCAGTATCCTTACCCATGGAGGTAAAAGGTGTTTTCTATCCGTGATTTATGATTTCTCAAGCAAAAAGTGGGACAACTCGTTAGAACACTAGTATGATGTTTAAGATAAATTTAAAGCTTGTAAACTTTTAGTTAAAAATAAAAAGGGAAGAAATTTAAAACTTCTAGGACTGGAAGTGGCCTAGAGTTTTGTAATAGGGAGCTTGATAGAAGCTATTTAGTTACATAATCCTTTAAGGAAGCTATCTGGTTTAAACGTCTTATTTTTTTAAATTGGTTTCCTAAAACATATGTTGATGTGTTTTCTGACGGTCAATTTGCTAATTAACTCTTCAGGATCTACGTTTTCATGGACAAACCAGACATATAAATGTTAGGTTCCATTTTATTTGTGACATTATTGATGCAGGTAACATTAATGTGTGGAAGATATCATCTGAATTCAATCCAACTGACAAGGGAACTAAGTGCTTATCTGCTCGGAATCTATTGTCCTGCAAAAGGATATTAAACTTTAACTTAGGTGTTGTTTGCATGCTTGTTTAGTGCTTGTTATATTTTTGAGTCGTTTCCATTTTGTGATATTTGTGATCGGGAAGAAGGCTCTTCTCTCTCATAACTCAAAGACGCTCTCACAAAGCTCTCACTCAAGGCTCTCTCTAGGCTCACAAGAATTAGGAGTCTCAACCCTATTTATACAAATGTCCTCAATGCTTCTCTAAAACTTTCTATGCACCACTACTCTTCTAGAGTCTTTCAAGAAGTATTCACAAGCTTCTCTAATCTTCTGGAAGGATCTAGATAGTTTCACATCTCTTCAAAATGTTACAGATGCTTCCACGCATTTCCACAAGATTCTAGAAAATTCTACACTTCTCTAGAAAACTCCACTATGTTCCACAATATTATACACTTTTCCACACGCTTCTAGATAATTTCACGTCTTTCTAGAAAGCTCCAGAATATCCTAGAACGTTCCATACTTCTCTACACACGTCTAGAGATTCTAGACATCTCCGTAGTATTCTAGAATTTTCATCAACTTCTCAATTAAGGAGGGAACCCAACAAAAGTTTATTTTAATTCTTTTATCGTTTCTATGAAGAATAGTTCTCTTATTTCTTAGTGTTATTTCGCAAAAGAAGTAAACCAACCCCAAATCAGACCTTGATCACACACAAACCAGCTTCATAGTTTGTTTGATTTTACTTAGAGACATCATCCAAGTCACTCTTTTTGTCTGTCTAATTCTTAACCTCCGTACATAAGTTACTCTTTTTGTTCGTCTAATTCTTAACCTCCGTACATAAGTTACTCTTTTTGTTCGTCTAATTCTTAATCTCCGTAGATAAAAGCGTAAATCTTTTAAGCCATTCCTCACTAGTACGGAGTATATAGATCGAGCGAGGCATTAGAGTGCTCTTAATATCAAATTGACCTATTTATGAGAATGAA